TTCGTGTGTGCGAAGCGCACATGGAGGCACTCTAATGCAGACAATCCAGGAAAAGTATTCTTGCAACTATGAGGTTCCAGTTGTACTTACACATGCATTATCGTCAAATTTGACAGAGTTCCTTCCAACACTAAAGAGTTGTCAAGAGTGAAGATTATAAAGGAGAATATCAGCAGGAATCTATTGTCTGTTTACTGAAAACAAAACAAGCATCAGAAAAACGCATTTGGGCGGCCGGGGCGGCCAGAAGCACGGACTGCGCGCACCCAGCGTGGAACCAGCGAATGAGAGGGCACTCCTAGCAATCTGTTTTCAGAGCCACGGTATGCCGGCTGCCGGCCAAATGTCTACTTTAATTCTATTATGGCTTTCGAAACGTAAATACACGCTCGAGAATTTTCAACAATATCACGCGAGCGCCGACCGGCCTGTAGATCAGCGCATCGTCACGGCGCGAAGTAGCGATATCAATGACAGTACGCGCGTGCGCAGAAGAAACGCGCCGAAGTCGGCGTCGGCTGCTAAGCTGTTTCCCCAATCACGACCCACCCCTGCCGCGACGCCCACCGCTTGCTCCACCCCATTAGCAGGGGACCTAGTAATCAAAGCGACACACACGGTACGCAAACACGAACAGCAGCCAGTAGGAAGGACACCAACACGAGCTTAGTCAGCGAACGAAAAGACAGACACAAACTTCACTCTAGGCAATCAGAGCAGGGGTAGTTACAAGGATGAGAAGCGTGCGCAGACGGAGGTAAGCAGTGCACAATAAATACGCGAAAACTCGCAGCAACCGAAGAACCACGCAGCAAACACGTACGTGCACACGCACCAGAAGCACGTGCGTCACGCTGCGTATCTACGCGGAACTGGCGATTTTGGCATTTCGGTAATTTGAAACTTCGATGTCGATTGCGTGAACAATTTATTCAGCAAACTGAACCGGTGGAGCCTCGCATAAAAAAAAAAAAAAATCGTTTGACAATATGAAGGCGACTGAAATTCTTCCTAAAAGCTATATTAGCAGAAAGTACCGTGTTATAAAGGACCTCACGAGTTTCGACTAAGTTTTCCAGCACGTTATTTTGCAAGAAACGGAAGAAGCTAAGTGTACAACCAGTTTCCGAAGCTGGCAACCACAGCTGGAATCAGCGCCATCCTCGGCAGTTTCCTGAACCTCGCGTAGTCACATTTCAGCCACCGCCACATAGAGGGCGCAACCAGACATCCAATTTGTGTTTTCTGTATGTTTTATGATTTGTTTTAATAAATAGGCTCGATTAGTGAAAATGTGGGCTAATAATCAGGACCTGGAACAGTAATCTCCATTTAATACTAAAAATATCGGCCTAAATGTCTGCCAAAAAGGGTCAAAATACTCGGTTTTGACTATCAACAAATTCGTGATTTCGCCTCTATTCAAACTTTTTTTATGGAAACTCAAAGGTGAAATTTAGAAAAAGGGCCTCTAATGACAAAGCAGAATATGTTTTTCTTTGCAGATCTACAATTTTATTCAAATGTGCCAATCCCTAAGCGCTGTACCACTGTACTACCAAATGAAGTTTGCCAAAAAAAAACTGTTTTTGTCACTTTTCACGTGAGCATTCCGAAAAAAGTTTAGGCCATATTACAATGAAATTTAGTGTAGCTCTTTCTACCATAGTTGCAAACACATGTAAAAGGTTTCAAATAAAATGACCGAGTAGGCGGCCAAAAATCCGCGACTGAATGTGCTTCCGCGAGGTACATTTTTTAAAGTAAATATCTGTCAAAATAAGATGAAAAACGAGAAAAGGGCCTGTAATGACAATGAATGCACTCTTCTTCTATAACATTCTAAAATTTGAAATAAATTGCTCCAATTGTGCACCCTGTACCACTGTACTACGAAACCATGTTTTGCCGAAAAGGCCAATGTTCGCGGGTGCCCGCTGAATTAGCGTTTTGCACTAGGAAAACAAATCCTACATCAAAGGAAAGATAATGTTGTACAGGACAAGATGATATATAACACATAATTTTAGAAAGCTTGAACACGCCACAATCGCATTTCGAAAACGTGCGGAAAGCGTCATATGTCATGGCCGCCGTGGGACCGCAGCCTTAAGTCAACAGTCCATGTCAGAAATAGAATGTGGGGTACGGATCCTTATATACGCAGTTGAGCATTTGACCGCAGCGCCCTCTCATCTATAAACGTTGAGCGGCTACATGCAACGTTGGAGTGTAGCATAGTGGTTCAGACGTCTGCCTTGTAAGCAAGCGGTCCTGAGTTCGAACCCCCGTGCGGGCGTACATTGTTTTTTTTTTTAAAGTGGGCCGATCTTGAAGGCAGTGCAATCGATGTGAGCACGGACGCCGGACGGGCAAGGCTAGACCCTAAGGAGCTTCGCCCCTAAAATATTTGTTTTTCTCAAGAATGTCCTTAAAAAAAGATCTCTCTCTTTTTCTTTCTTTCTTTTTTTATTTACAAATTTTGCTGATCCCTATCAGGGATTGTAGCAAGGTGCAAAGTAACATAAAATGAAGCAATATAGTACCAAAGAGTTACTAGTTACTCATTCAGAACACAAAGCGGAAACAAATACACTTACAGAGTCTTCGCTAATAATTTCGTCAGGAAGCCCATTCCATTCTACAATCGTTCTAGGAAAAAAGGAGAATTTGAAAGCGCTGATGCGCAGTTGGTGAGGTGTAATCGTAAGTGGTGTTCTTCCTCGGGTAGCGTAACCAGTCGAGAAAGTGATGTATTCGTCAACGTTAATTTCATATTGTCCCTTAATTAATTGAAATGAAAAACGAAGTCTGCATACACAGTTTCGTTCTTGAACCGGGACAAACCCAAGCTGTTGGCTAAGCTCGGAAACGGACGCCTTCTTATAGGCGTTAAAAATGAATCTGACAGCTTTATTTTGTATTTGTTGTATACGATTAATTCCTACCTGTGTAACTGTGTCCCAAATAATGTTTGTATATTCTAGGGTCGGCCGGATAGGAGTCTTGTGCGCCAGGAGTCGAGTATCTGAAGTGGCTGGTTTTAGCATTCGCCTGAGAAAAAAATGATCTATGGAGGGCTATATATTGAAATATTGAAATATTGTAACCATTTGACAGAGTTACTGTCAGCGAGTGCTGCTCAGGGGCGAATTTAGAGGGGGGGTCTGGATGTCCTGACCCCCCTCTTGATTTCTGCATGTGTAAAGGGGGGATCGGTGGCCGAGTGGGCTAGCGCACACCAGCTCGGAGCACGTGGAGCGAAAGCTCGCGCTGCAGAACCCAGGGATCTTGGGTTCAATCCCCACCCCTGCTCGTTTCGATCTGGATGAGCATCGTACCGGCGTGCGGTCGTGTATCACTACTGCATGGTGCACGTTAAAGACCCCAGGCTAGCGGTTGTACTGCACTGGCTAAATTGCTCATCTACAGCTGGGAGACTCGTCGCCCCTGTGAGGCAGACCAAGTTCTAGGCTGTATAAACATACACACAACCCAATTTTTTTTTTTTGCCTGTGTAAAATTTAGGGCGTGAAACGAGGGAGAGGGAAAGGGGGTTCCTAAACATATGGTACGCTGACCAACACCTGACCTCCCCCCTCAGGTGTCCAACACCGCCCCTGGTGGTGCCTCTGGTAATACATTTTAGTTGAATCTAAATTTGGGATTAAGAATACTTGGTTGGAATCAGTGGTCAAGCTTATCATGAAAAGTCTATATTTCTAAATAAGCCATCAATCAATCAATCAGCTAGATTGATTCCCAAGCATACATGTATTCAGTATGTGTCGCCTTCAGGGTATTAACTAATAAGTTATAATTCTGAGATGTCCATCCAACTCGTTTCTTTCAAAACCACCGCTGTTCCTGACCTGCACTAGTCAGTATGAAGAAACGAGGTAACTTGACCGTCATGCAGGGCTGGCGGAAAACAAACGTAGAACCTTGAGGTTCGACGTAAAAATCAGGCTCGACGAAAGTTAGTGACATCAATAGTTGCAATGTATCTGCAGGAGAAGCTCCGCCTCCCAACCATGGGAAAAAATGGCGCTACTATGTCAATGCACAATATTTCTAGCCTCACAGGATCGAACAGCGAGAAACGTGGGCTTCTATAACCACATGCATTTGCTTGAAAATGGCAAACATGACGTAGGTGTAACAGCGCACACTAATGAATATATGGGGAAAGGAACGAACAACACAAAACATCCTTTTACAGCTTTTCGTGTTGTTCGTTCTTCTCCTTAGCCTTCCCTGCTTTGCACTGTTGCATTTACATTATGTTTGACTTTTACTAACTAGACCAACTCTCAATTTTATTACTTTATTCCACTTAGCAGTGTTTTACTACAGAAGGGCTATAGTCCTGCTCCTTCCTTTAGTGAGGGCGAAGCCTCTTCCGCATATCTTGGCTTGCCACAAACTAATAGCGACGAGAAGGTGCGAATGGTTCTTCCAGCAGTGGGAATTTTCTGAGAGTTGTTTACAAACGTTGCCAAACAAGTAAGTGGCAATGTTTATTTTTATTTGTATTATATAAAATGCGACAATCCCCGAGTGGCGGGGGGTAACATGTATGCTTGGGAATCAATCTATATAATGCATATAGATGTAGTGAACAAGACTTGGAGCTAGAAACGTGTGCAACTTTTGACCAATTAGAAGTGCAAAGACGTTTTTGAGATCTCGTTATTGTGAATGCCCCATTGTTGGATATCTGGAACTACTTTATACCATTCATTATAAAACGGCTGTCTAGAATTTCAATAAAATAAGCTATTGAAGAAACCGAAAAAAAAACAAAAAAAAAACGGTTTTTAGGAATGTGTAATTGGTAACCAAAACCGTAAAAAACCTAAACGAAACCGATATCAACACGAAACGGCAACCGTAACCGAAACATTATATTTTTCGGTTTGAGTCCTTGGATCTATGCCTATTCCCGGTGCGATAGCTCAGGTTGTTCTCATTTAGGGCACACTAAAGCAAGGACTGACCTCAAGGGCATTGTCGCACCACTGGAGAGAGTCGTCTACCAGCTTCACGGGGGCCGCCATGTCTGGAGGTGGGGCCAGTCTGTCTGCAAGGCCTGGCAAAACAACAACACAAAGTGCATCTATACACATTCCTCGCTCTGAAAAGCCACTCCAACAAAAAATGTGCCTTTTTTTTTATTATTCAAGGATCCAATTTTGACTTTGTACAGGCTATGGATGATGCTCATGTCATAAATCAGTTCAACCTTGAAATGTCTGTGACCGGGTGTGACTCGCACCTGCCACACGCCCCTTAATTGTGCTGCCTAATTCGATGCACGAACATAAGTGTATCACTCGCACAAGTTGTGCTCCAAGCATGCTTCAGGTACCAATAATGAAACTAGGCGTTATACTGAACGCAATTAGCCTGGCAGCAGCACCACAGCCTGCCACGAGCAAGGAGCAGAGACAGTATGGTAAAGGAGGATAGAAAACAGGTTTAATTGGAAAAGTCAAAACCAAGTTTGATTAGCGTCGAAGATACATGTTTCTGGTAGTAGTTTTCTATAAATTAGAGGTGTGATTACATCTGTGGCAGCATAGGGATACCTGCCTTTTTGCCATTTTCTATGAAGGCACCCAATTATTAGTAGAGCCCTTCAATACGCTTTTGATAACAAAAGTTCTGCCAAAGCCTACGAGGACAGAAGCTGCTGTCAGACGAACCAATGTTGGTAAGGGAGAGTTCTTCTTTGGCCTCTTCATCCTGAGTTAGCCAACCATAATTCGTGGTGACAAGTAGTTTTGTAAAAACAATTTCTTTGTTATGCTTTGTTATGCCTGTAATTGATCACTGTATGCAAGCCCTGGTCATTCTTCACTGATTACCAATAACAGACCTTGCAAATAAGCCTTTTCCACTTGTTTCGAAACAAAATTATTCTTTTTCGAGCAAAAAATTGAATCGGGCAATTGAGCGTACCAGTTTGCGTTGCCTCCACTATACTTCGTTTCACCATAACTTGGCAAAGAGCAAGCACTACGACCCCCTTCAAGCCAAATGGAGAGATGAAGGCCATGTCCGTGACAGCCCTTACCAAAGGTGCAGGGGTGAGAGCACGACCCACCTAGTTGTTAAAGAGGGGAGGAACGAACTCCACTCTTGCCCTCTTTTTTGTGTCCCAGAGGTCGCTGTTCTCACCCTAGAAGTGTAGTGAAGTTAAGAAGTAAACGTGCTGCGGCGCAGGCTGCACGCACTTGCACTTGAATGGCGTCTGGTCCGATTATGACAACTGCCGACGAGGATGAGATCGTGGTGCCTCACACTCTGCCGTTTGGCAGCTGCAGCGTCGACACAAACCCCTGGTCAGACTCTACAGTAGCCGGCACCCACCTAGGGCCGGGTCGGAAATTCCGAGCAAAGACTGGCATTCCGGGCTCAATATCCGTGATCCTCGTGCATGGTCCATTTTTGCACATGTCCTGCTGGAGCTGTTTTCGATTCACTGTGGTCCGAAGATCGCGTCGCAGAGTTCAGCGCAGTCTTAAGCTTCCTACCCATCAAAAGTTCAGCAGGACTACAGCCTGTCCCTTCATGCGGCGTCGTCCTGTATGACAGCAGCAGTCTGGTTATTTGCATATGAGGTCCCCTGATCCGGCCTTCAACTTCTGCTTAATCGTCTGCACTGCTCGCTCGGCCGCTCCATTGGACTCGGGATGGTACAAGGGCGCCAGCACTTGTCCTATGCCATTCTTCCGTAAGAATGTCTTGAATTCTTCGCTCACAAACGCCGGACCATTGTCTGATACAACTACATCCGGCATCCCCTGAATAGCAAACATCTTCTCCAAAGAATCAACTGTCACAGACGTCGAGCATGTGCTTACTGGAAACACCTCGATTCATTTGGAATAAGCGTCGATAGCAATGAACAGGTAGGTGTTTCTCAGGGGTCCAGCAAAGTCTACATGCAGTCGAGACCACAGCCTTTTCGGAAATGGCCATGGCCTCACTGGTGCCGATCCTGGTGCTCACTGATGTTTTTGACAGGTATGGCATGCCTCCACTGCTGCCGTGATGTCCTCATCCGGAGCTGGCCACCATACATGGCTCCAGGCCACTGCTTTCATTTTCGAGACTCCTGGATGACTTTCGTGTAGCAACTGGAGCCTGGAGCAACTGGAGCACTGGAGCCTACAAGATTAGCCCACCACTCAAAATTAATACATAAGTGTCTTTCCTCTTTCTCCCGCCAGCGCTACATGCAACTAATGAGATAGAGCATAGTCATGTGTCTCCCTTCGATGGGCTAACTGACTCACTGGGATGGTAGCCTTCGCCATGTACCAAATTATAGTGAGACAGTGTATAAATGCTGCCCCTCGCAGCGCTGAATTTTGACAGTGGTGGCGGAACTGAAAGGTAATTTTGAGACAAGAAAAACTAATTAAAGATGATATCATTTTAGGAAACTAACGCAGAAAAGGAAGTTTCAACAACTGATCGAGTGTACAGAGCCAAAGACGCTCACATTAACTAACGAACGTTGTCAGTGCAATGACACATCACCGCAATCTAAGCCTGGCTCATTCAGACTGCGTTAGAAATTCCGATAAAATTTTCTGGCTGCCAGATTCCCATCAGTGGTGGCTAGATTGCCAGCTCTGTGCCCCCTTATTGACACCAGAGGTTTTGTGACAAGAAGCCTATTGAAGGACTCTGGTACAAGCTGTCATATCCAACAACTTTCCCGCATGTTTCGGAAACTTTCTGGTTATTCCTTTTCTTGTAGCAAATCTTATAGCCACGCTGCATCGTGCCACTTCCACCATGACCCTGTTCTTTGGGTAACAAAGCATTATTGAAGAAAAATGTGCAAATATACCGCATGCTCACTCTCGGGGGTGGCTTGCTTGAAACTGGAACCCCCGCTGGCGACCGCTGCGCCGCCGGTAGCGGAAGAACCGGCCGAGCCATCCTCTCTCGGGAGGTTACTCCCGCTTGAGCCGGCGGGAGAGGACGCCCGGGATGAGCTCTTGGACAGCAGCAGGGACGGCTTGGAGCTGCCGTCACCACTCCCCGAGGCACCGTCGAGAGCCGCCTGCGCCGACGCCTGGAAGGCAGCACATCGACGTGAGCATGACGCACCACCTCGATCCACCGGAAGGGTGACGGAGAAGCACCGTCATCGACACCTAGACCACCACACCGGATGTGCGTCGTTCAAAGTGAGACGAACGTATTTCAACGCTAATCAATGTTTCTCCAAAAGCCCGTCACACACGGAACACAAACTGTCTCTTCCCACAAACCCAAAGTTGTGGAGTTCTGAAGAAAAAAAACATTTTGCACGGGACAAATACTACTTGCTTTTTTCGCCATTTGACATGCTTGACAGCCAGTTAATGATCTTATGGCTGCAGCCTTTGAGAACAATATGATCACTTATGCTGCAACGTTACAAGATCCACTTAGTTGGTAAACTTTAATGGAGACATTGATCCCTCCCCCTCCAACGTTCCGCACAAATGAAGGTGTTTTGCTACAATGTGGCCACCCCCTGGCCACGAGCATGTCAGCAATATTTTGTTCACTCATTCAGCCACAGCAAACTAAAGAACTGTTTTTGCCCCCATGGTGAATTATCATTCGCCCAAAGTTCGTACAAAAACACCTTCCTTCTATTTTCGGCCAATGCAAAAGGAAAAGATCTATCCAGTCTCGAAATCATATTTCTGAAAAAGTGGGATTGAGCACCACCCTTTTATACACTGGGGCGCATCTCTGCAACAGCAGTTAAAAACCGCAGCCAGATTGTCCATGGAAGGCCCCCAGTGATGGAGGTTGAGGAGCAAGAGGGGTTCAGCCTTTGCAAGCAATTGGTAGAGTGATGTGGCCAGATATAGAGGCACCAAAATATACTCTTTAGAAACTAAAAAGAGGAATAGAATGCTCTGCAATAGAAACATACACTAGAACAGAGCCGCTATAAATTCTATTAATGAATGTTTAATATTTTGACTGGTTCTGTATTTTTGCTGTCTTTATCAGCGCTGCAAGTGGACTGTTTACTGTAGCTTCTTTTTCTTTTATAGTAAAGTTTCCATGAGCTTAGCAAGCTGACACAGGCATTTGAGATATTGATATAGCAAATTACTACTGATAGTAATTTCTTCCTCCCAAACTGTATTAGCAAAGACTGTAGAGACTCACAGGATGCCAAACAATGGCCTGTAATGGGCCTCAGATGCCAAGAGCAACAGATAAGCAAAGCAGGACAACACCTCCTTTTTACTCCATTCTTTGTTCCTACTGTGCCTTCTTTCAAGTGCCATGCTTTCTAACATGATGTGACAGCTTTGCACTTAGAAAAAAAGAAAGCTTTCTTTTTCTTCTTTTTGTAGGTATTTAGGTTAGGGCAAAAAAATATGTTAGTCTGTAGAAATTGCCAAGGCATGTTGCAAAAGTCTCCGATTAATTGTATCCTGAAGCTGGGGAAAAATTGGGGAACAAGAGAAGAGTGCAGCATTACTCCTTTTTGTTTCTTCTACTTTCAGACCCCCCTTTTGAATTCCGCATGTGTAAAATTTAGGGCGGGGAAAGTGTGGGGGGAGGTTGAGCCGTTCGAATTAACCTCTCATACGCTGAACCTCCTTTCTGGAGATACTTGCATGTGCCCCTTAGTGTAGCCACAAGGCCCAGCTGAACAGAAATGAATGACCTTGCTTACCAGTCTGTTTTTAGATGTGCCTTAATTTCACCAAGGCATTTGAAGAGAAATGAAAAGCACTGATAGTGTTTGTGACAGCCAGTTCTGATTTGCGATGTCTACTGTCCTACTCGGTCGCCCCGTCTGCGCTAGAACTAAGTCAAAAGCAGCCCATCGTAACCAGTGTCGGACCAAAATTTTCATTGGCTCGGTTCTTTCAGTTCAGGTCCGGTTCACTTCCGGGGAGCAAAAAATATGGTTCAAACCGGTGTTAACCGGTTTGAACTGCTCAATTAAGAATATATTTTACGCTTTGTTTTGGCAATTGGCACTATTTCTGCCATGAATAGAATAACTATATAGCTTGTTAATCAATTGTACAATCCACTTTCATTCTCAGGAACCAAAAATAAGATATTGTGTTATTTCATTTCGACACAACAGTAGAATAAAATGTAGATCAATCACACATATTTTACCTGAATCAAAATGTTGTCCCAAAGTCTGGTAGGTCGCCTAAAATACCCGTGATTGGTACAACTTTGCATCGCAGTATTGAAAGCTGAATTATAGTGGTGCTTTTGAACTCAGAAATTAATTGCAGCGCATAAAATCATAGAAGAGGTACATCATTGCCATACATATGTAATTAAATATAGTTTACGAAATACGCTTTACGATATACAGGGTGTGGCCGCAAGGACCAACACATTTGGTACGCTTTGCGAAATTCGAATTTCAGACATACATACCTGAAATTAGGCACTCAAACATAGTTTCGCAAGTTTGAGGTAGCGAACTATTAGAAAAAAAGCAAAATCGGAGGTTGTGTATTTCTAATGTCCTATACCAACTAGCCTGTTTCTCGTTTGCACTGGTCAATGTGCTCGCTCCAGGGTGGCTTACTCAACGTAAAAACGTTAAAAACCAATGGCAGAGGCTGGCGATGAGCAAGATGATCGCGATAATACATACTTTTAACGAAATATGTGAACAGTGCCCACCTGGGAGAAAGCTCAAACCAGTGTGACGACAACGAACATCCAGTATACGGTATAGCAAATGTATGGCCGCCGTTTTTGCTCTATTTTTAACATTTCACCATCTCTGACTTAAGCTCTGAAAAAGAAAAAAAAAATAGTCATAAAACTTTTTCAAAAACTATGTTCGCGTACCCAATTTCAGGTATTTATGTTTTGAATTTGAATTTTGCAAGACGGTCCAAATGTGTTAGTTCTTACAGCCGCACCTTGTATGTATATATCGACGACACAACTTAGCCAAAAGCAAAATTATTTTCAAAATGTCATGAAAGTTTTATGACAGGCTCTTTCAGTCTACCTTTAATTGAAAGATTGAGCGGCAATCATAACGCTTGTTTTCATAACCAACATTGTTTACACTCAGCACCATGACGCAGGTGAAGAATCAAAGAAAGCAGTGATTAAAATTGTTCACTCTAATTTATATGGACCTTTGCACTCCAATTGAACCTGGCCTAAAGTAGCGCGTTCCCAAGTGAATATTTTTCTTATGCAGAATAAACTGGCATGGCCTGGCTGTTGAGGTTTGTTCTTGACAAGATGCCGGTCAATTCAATTTGCACATAAGCATCACCCTTGCTAAATGATGATTTTTGGTTAAATATAACAAAATGGTATATGATGCTTTTCTCGACATGGCAGCTACTTAATTTGTCACTTTTTGACGGTCGGTGTGAGTAGTTGTCATAGTTCCACCACATGTCCCCATGTATACTTTGTTTTTGTCCAACACGCAGACATAAAATTGCTGTTCATCCCATCAGAGGCAATAAAAGATTTTTCTATGTTTGCAAAATTATATATGAGTCAGGAACACAGTCCCTAGTAGCACACCTAGTCCAGGGAATGTATTTAGGATGTCCTAACATTCCAGGGACGTCCCATGCATGTTCATAGGACATGTGTGCTGCTTGGGGTCATTTAAGGCTCTCCCAAAGGAGTTTGAGCCTATTGAGGATAAAAACGCCAGCAAAGATTTGCAGAGCATGTTCCAGAGAATTAGCGAGTGCATTCACTTATTTATTTTATTTTACGTGCCCAAAAACAACCATGCAGGTCTCGTCTTTGGTGCACAAATATATAAATATGAACAGGAAAAGAAAAACACACTCGCAGGTCTCAAACACAATATTTACAGTCCGGCAACAAGCGCTTTCACTTGATGATGTAAATCTTTAAGGTGATCGGCCCTTCATTTATGTTTCCAACTTTCAGTCAGTAATTAAATATATTTTTATTATCATCAATAAATTTAACCGCATAAAGTTTACATAGCAACTGCTTGAGACTGATACGGAAGGACGATACTCAAAAATACGCCAGCTGTTAAGGAAACATGCTTTTTTGTTCGCTGTTTGGCAGTGTGAAACACCGGGTCGCGGGATATGCCAAAAAGGACTTTGAGCTCACATGATAGATCTGAAGTCCAAAAGACTAAATGGGCAGAAAAAGAAAGATAAATGGTTTTATTCACAAGAATCTGATGCATGACGCCTTAGTGCAAAAATAAATTTATAGAGATGTAACGATATTCCCAATTACAAATAAGTAAATAGCGCAAAGGAAAGACAGATATTCTTATTCAGAGATGTCTCATTAATATGGACACCTCCGTTCCCCCAAACAATCCTCCATAATGTCAGTTGCCCATAAAAACGAAACAGAAATGCACGCATTTCCTCAGTCTGCCCCGAAAATGGTGTCCATATAGCGAGGTATCCATATAAACACGGTCCATATAAACAATACATGAATGTGATCCTAACATAAATCACATTTGGGCATTAGCTTGCATGAACTCCAAACTTTGCGAAATACCGCCTCGGGAGGCTGTTGTGTTATTGAATTAGTCTTGTCTCAAATAAAATATATTCTTGAAAATAAACGAGGTCTTGAAAACTGAGTTTTTGGTAATTAAAGAAACAGTGGGTTTAATATTCTCGATACAAGTTTAGGTTACAAGACGGACACTATTGGTGGTCGTGTACCCCCATCGCAAAAAACACTCTCGCTCAGAGTCCCGCTGTTAGACTGGCGCATAGTTCTCTTTGTGCAGCTTGGTCTCGCCCATGGCTGTAACCCGATGCCGCATCTTGCCTGACGCCAGCCAGTCGCACCTTCATGGCGCGGGAATCCACGTGCGAGACCTTGCTGCCGAGGAGTTAGAATAAATCACAACTGTGATGATGTGACCGAATGTGGAAAAGAAGAAGTGCAAGTCAACCCATGGATCGGCCCAGAGGGAGAAAGGAAGATGACGAAGGAGGGATTTTGGAGTGCGTGCAGAAAGGGCGTGAAAGAAGACTGGCCGAGGAGAACGTGCAGAGGGCGGAACGACACCATCGGCCAGGGCAATCGGCGGCCTCCTACTGTCTGACCAGCAGCCTGTTCCAGCGAGGGCAACGAATAGAAACCTACGCTGCCCCCGGCTTCCTACAGCGCGAGCACTTGGTGCGGTAACTCTGGGGCCGCCGACAAAAGCCAACCGCTCCCGCTCCTGACTTCCAGCCACAACCGTGGGCCGACAACGACAGCACAAGACACACTGCTGCACAGGGATTCAAAGACATGGTGACTGATGCGTTTTCCTTTCTTTCATTTCTTTAACTAAGTTTTCTTTTTTTGTATAAGCATATGAACTCTTTGATTTTTTTTTGTAAATACAAGTTTTTATGAAAAACGAAGGACATGGTATCTTGTCAATTATTAACCACAAAGAACCGTGTGACAACAACCTTCCTAGAACACAACCTTGCGCCCAGTGAAATAAAAGAAAAGGACAAAACACAATGGTGCTCACATGGAATGCTCTCGGCAAAATGAAATAAAAGGGCCAAAACAGAATGGCGCTCACTAACAAATGTTACACTTGGTTTGCAAGCTTTTTTTTGGCCCTAACTTTACAACTCTGTGCTTTGTCAGTCATGTGCCCTAACATTTTATTAGGCTGCCATGTATCAACGTGAGAGTTCAACATATTCACCTTGAGATTCAATCGGCATGGCTCGTGTGGTGAAGAGCAGGACTACAATTTGTTTCACCCTTACTAGGAGCAAAATGAATGCTACGCGCACGAGGCCGAAGCCATAGGAGGTGCCAATGCAGGGCTCGCGCACCTGAATCAACTGCTAAGAGCTCGTGCTCTGTACCCTTGCCCGCGCTCTGCACCGTTAGTGTGTATGCTCTGTCTCCACCCGCATGGTGGAAAGTGGGAATACCAGATGCCTCGTAGAAAACCTTGGATAAACAAGAGCACATTTCCTCTAATTTCAATCTGGGTCTCGAGGCCAATACTGCCCAACTTTACATATTGGACATCTACTTTCGCTAGTGTTGCGAACATCGCATTTCACCAGGAAGCTCAACTGTTTCCTGGTTATGTCATCGCATTGTATGCTAGTGGTAATTGCTACTTGTTCCCGCTGAGAAAATCAAATCAAATATTGTAAAATGCTTGCTGCAGAAGCTTTGCGCTCAGTGCGAGCCATGTATTTGAGAGACACAAATTATTTTTGCTTGGTGCAGCGTTGTGAGGAATGGCGCAAGCGTCTGGTACCACGGAAACGAACGCACTTTCTAGAAAGATTATTTTTGCAAAGAAAGTAGTTGCCGGGGCCACGCTTTCTGGTCTCTGCTAAAGATGCAGGCAGAAAAACCCTTACAAAACAGTATGCTTTCAAAACTGTCTCCTCACCCACTCCCCCTTCCCCCTCCTTTTTTTTTTCTTTTTTTTTTTGCATTGCTTTTTCAAGGAATACTTTTTATTCCTGAGGGACTCCCTCCTCTGTTTGAAGGTGCTAATTCCAAAATTATACTTGTGTCACTTGTTAACAGTAATCCTCCATTTTCTTTTACTTTGCACCTACAAACTGAAGTTTAAACAAAATACGGAGGTGCTCGAAGTTTGGGGAAGAACTTGAGAACGACACTTCAGTGAGACTTAGAGTCGCTGGCAACGTTCGGCTGTCCCTCCGAGTCCGCCAGGATCTTTATTTTCAGGTATGCTTCCCACACACTTGCAGTTTTATGTAATGACAGATTAATAAGTCACATTTAGTCATACTCGGGGACTTAACTATCTGAAGCAGTTCAGAAACAACAAAAATGTGTTTGGACGCCTCAGGATGTGTATGTGTAAAATGGGTCGTGCAATGATTTTTGTACTTTCAGTAAATACCGCAAAGAACTAATTGCTGACATTGATAACTTGTAACACCCATTACTTTTCCTCTCCACGCAAAAGGCAGATGCACGAAAAAGTAAATAAATAAACAGCTGCCCCTCCTCAACTCGCAATTAAAATAAGAGGACACATGAACTGATGCTTATTATATACCATCAGTGTTCATCATTGTCATGCACTGGGGTTGGCAAAGCATAGGGCATGACATGGGCTGAGCTTCAGATATGGCTAAAGTTCAGCTATTGTCACCTTTAATTGAACACAAGCCATTATGCGAATGCCTGGCGATGTTGATTGTCATGAACCTGAGCACTCAACTCGGGCTCAAGACAATCGAGTACGTCAAGGTGCAACATGACTTGCGGTGCGAAGTCGTAATGTCATGTGACGTCACGGTGTCCACAATGCAAATAAATCAAGTGATGCCCTCAATTTAAATCGGCTTGACGCAGTGAGTCACGTGAGTATGTCGAGTGACATCATGGATCCACGTAGCGTGACGTTACTTGACAGCACGTTTTGACGTCACGTGACTACGTGACACATGATTAACCATGGTGCCAATGCCAAAGTGCCACGAAAACCCACAATTTCTCATGTCCTGCAATTTTGTATTTACACGATTTGATCAATGCATAGAAATACAGCTGCCAATTTTTTATTCTCAAATATTTACTTTGTGATACTAAAAAAAAAGAAGAAAAAAATTCCCATGGACCGTTTGAAACCGGTTACCGTCATAACTTTTTCCGGTTCAGTTCCAAGACGGTGGCAAAGATTTCGGCAGTTCATTTCCGGTTTGTCAAAAAATAACGGTTCCGCTTCGGTTTTCGGTTCAGTTCCGGTTGCTGATCATAACTGCTGACACAGAATGCATATATGGGAATCAAGCCAACCTGACACTGACGAAAAAAAAACGTGTTTGCACGGCTTCTTGGAGAAAAACAAAAATTCAACTTACAAACAAACAAACAAACAAACACAAACACACACACACACACACACACACACAAAAAAAAAGAAAAAAACAGCCGCCTGCGTCGCGGAGCGTGTTTTGAAGGGAATTCGTTCAAACAAGCTTTCCTTCGTTTCCGCTGATGCATTGTCGCCTCTGAGCACACAACAAACTGAATTTCGGATTTCCACAAAGCAAGCTACATAAGCAATATGTACTACAAAAAAAAAAAAAAAAACGACTTGGCCGCGATACATGCGGAACAGCACACGAGCTCGCCTCTCAGAAACAGGTTTCTGATAGGCTAGAGTAATTTTCGACGCACAGTTGTGACCGACACCGGCTGTGGTTGAGCCGACGCAACCGAGATGTACGGCACGACTTCAGAAGCCGGCACCCCTTGTACAGGTCTGTGCTACGAAACAAATCGATTAACTAGTCGCAGTTGACTTTAAGTTGGCCCTATCAATCGAACGCGAATGTTTTAATTCAATTAGATCGAGAGTCGTAGATAACGTTATCAAAAGAGAAAGCGCTGCGAGTCCTTTGTAACAGGCGCACAAGCTGCAATGTATTTTTATTTATTTTTAATGAAGTTTAATTCTTGTTTTTGTGCCAGAGTAGATGATCTCGAAACATCTAAGTTTCCACTGAAAAAGTAAGTTGCAAAGTACGGCTTTGGTACTGTCATCTCGGAACGACCATTTACCATTCACCATTTATTTGCATCAACGGTTGCCGCATTACTATTTGAGAATATGACAGGAAAAATTGCTTTTGTTCGGGCAGTCTGACCCGGTTTTCACGGAACGAGAGCAGAACAGAAATCAAGCGCTGTTCCGGCCGTCTGTCCGGAGTCGGTATCTTACCCGGTCGGGATGCTTTGACAAAATCACCACGGGCTTGATTTGCTGCTGACTGGGCTCCGGTTCTGGGTCGCGATCTTGGAAGTGAAGGTACTGCGAACTTTTCAGGCGCACGTAGGCCGGCGTTGCGTGAACCCGCTGCTCCCTCGGAATCCGCTTCTTGGGGTAACCCCTGTCGAACGGGTCTGCCATTGCACCTTTTGTTTCGGGGGACCGACAAACGAGTGTTGCAGTACGGAATCCTTATTGTGATTTGGTTACTATTACGCGATCGCACTGCCGCACACACAAGGGAAGAAAATTTAGATGTAAGCATTCGATAATTCGATGCCAAAGAAAACACGCACTTTTGACTTGGCTTGGCTTGTCTTTAAGCTGACTTTTAAAAATGATCTAAACAGCGCTTCCAGAGTGGCTGTAACATTCTAATAATTATTTAATAAGATTAAAATTGAATCATTTCTGACGAATATTTGAGATGAAACCTGCCGTTTCGATTTGCGTTTGTTAAATAATTTTTTGGTAGCAGTAGAGGCAAGTTGGTAATCAGTGGCGCCACGTTCCCGATAGACAGGAAAGTTGGTTGCTCTGCAATTTGCTCTGCTACGTCGTGTGCCAAGAAAGGTACGCAATTTTATGATTTCCTGCGAATTTGATTTGTTTCTACGGTGCTGATGCTTAAATATGTCACGTCCAATACTCGCCAACTATTTTAGTACTCACGCAGACCATATTAGGTGTAGTTCCCTAAGGCGGGTATGGGAAAAATTAAGACTACGTTTGTCAGCTGGGCTCGTATGGCTGTATCTGGGCTGTATGTGTTCACGGCGCTCAAAGAGTTCGCATCTCGCGGTGCGTGCCATGGTACTGCAGTAGGAAACGACAATCGTGTGTGGCCGCGTTTAGCGCTCTCGGCCAAATATTCATACCCTGGTACTAGTTCAGATTTGCAAGCAGCGGCTTTGAAACGTGTGTGCATTCGAGGGATTGTTGTGTCGACATGATGTTTGGGTTGGTGGGGGGCGGATGACATCATCCGTCGGAATGTTCTGCTTTGTGTGACCAGCTGCAACAGCTGCGACGGCTTATTTGGGCTGAAGCGAGTCCGGAATTGTGACGCTATGATTTTCTGTATCATGAATCGGTGGTTAGCTTGTATTTCACGTGGCGGAGATGCCCCGAATATTGACATGTGTTGGCTACTTTATCAGTAAGGGTTAGAATCTAGATTATTTTGCCCTCTCTCGCATTCTTTCTCAAGTGTGAAGGTCCACGCAACGTGACCTTGTGCTCGCAGTGTCACTAATTATTATTTTTGTTGGGTTATTTTACGCCATTCGCTGCAGGCGTAAATGAGTTCACCGTACGCTAGAGCTGTACGTTGCCAGTGAGAGCTCATGATGTTACTTTGGAAGCATGGATTGAGCAGCCCGCGAGTCCCACAATCCACAGCGCTGCGCAGTGTTGGGAAAAACTATTAAAGTACATTGTGCTTAAAGCACTACTTCAAGTAGGTTTAGATAGCTTTTACTTGAAGTAAGTACGTTCTCTGAGCATGTACTTTACTAAAAGCATTTTTTTTTTTCGGTCTTTAGGGAAAGTTGAACTCCCGACTTTAAAGTACATTTTTCCAATTTCCTCCTGTTAAATTTTTATCACAAAAATATGCTTTATCAGCTCTGAAGAAATACTGGTAGGGATCCCAGTCTCACCAGAAACGTGAGCAGGCGACACCGTTCCGTTTGTTCTGGGGGCGGCTTTCCCGTAATTTTGAGAACTTGCCCTGCCTCTCACTCGGTCAGTGCGAGCGAGGAGGCTAAAATATTAGGAGGGGACAATTAATCATAATGTAACTTCTGAGATTGTGGTGCGGAGAAATAAAAAAACAAGTCGAAAAAAAAAAAACGTCAAAGCAGAATGTCTCAATGTTTTAAGATATTCTCCTTTGTTGTCCTTTCCTTCGACTTGGAAGTTTCGTAATTTTTCTGCACCAGAGTCTTAGGGGTGATGTTATGATAAGTTATCACCAACTTGCCTGTGCAGTCGTTGTTTTACTCCTCCGCAAGACGATTGCTTGCGGAAGCTACATAGCTGACGTTATGCTCTCTTCTAGAATGTTTAAAGTACAGGCGGCGCCCAAATTCAGAAGTCGAAGGGAATTCTGAATTTAACGCCATTTCTGAAAGTAAGTACTCTGTGGCCACTTGACCTTATCCAATGTTCGCTGCCATTCTGGAAAGTAATTGATGCACCCTCGTTAACTCTGAAGCAATGCATGTCAGTAAAAAAAAAAAAAACACTATAGGGAATTAAGGGGCATTATAGAAGATTCTGTTGAAATGTACTTTCAACGTAGAGTACAAGTACATTTCAACAATCTTTCATGATGCCCATTCATTTCCCTATACATAGCTTTTTTAACTGACATGCATTGCCCCTGGGGTAATCGGGGGTGCTTGTACTTTCACTTTACTTTGAAAGTACATTCTATTTATAGTACTTCGAGTACATTGCACCCGGTGTACTTTCTACTTTACTTGGAGTACATCAACTCTCATTTAAATCAAATCAAATCAGTTTATTTTCACCTTGTACAAAGATGAAGGAGCTGTGGAAAAAAGCTGCAGCATTGCAGTTTGACGAGTCCACAGACCCTTAGTATTTACCCCAAGCACTTTTTAGATGTACTTTACCCAAGACTGACGCTGCGGGTAGCGGGCCCAGTGGGCACGTGCTCGATCTATGCAGTGACGGCACGAGCTCCCACTCTACCAAAAGTCCCGACCCCGGAAGTGTACGGGGAGGGGGGGGGGGGGGGGGGGGGAGGGGAGGGGGAGGGAGGGAGGGGGAGGGGGAGGGAGGACGGGAGGACAAGGGACAAAAATTGAAAAACACTCATTGCCAAGATTTTACTGTTTATAGAACGTTCATTATCCCTACACCGTGTATCCATACGTTCTTCCCAAACTCCTGTCACGAAGCAATGAGATGTCGACACATCTGATCAAACGGTGGCTGGTGGCATTGATCTACGGTGTTGATGTAAAATGCACTGGAAAATCGGGCGCCTGTACCTATACTCCGTTTTACCTTATGTTGTACCGCAGACAAGGCTAGAAGCGCGAGCTCATAGCGTTGGGAGCTACTCTTAACGCACGAGAGCTTATGCCGCCGAGATATGCCCTAGAGCATGGAGCTCGCGCTTGTAGCCTTTCCTGCGGTACATCATAAGGTGAAACAGAGTATAGAAAGATCACATTGTCAACGAATGTGTGTGAAACTTGTCCGCAGCTCCGTATTTTGTGAAAAGTTATAACAATGCATTCTTGAAAAGTTTACCACCGGTGAACGCAGTCGTCCTTTTGTGGTAAACCTTCACTGGCGATGGCCTTTTTTTATTTTGGCATGTTTTATGTTTTTATGGTCGTCTTTGAAAAGAGGGTTATACATCATATTATACACTATGGGTGTATAATATGGTGCCCGCCTGAACATAGCAGGCTGGCTCGCCAAGAACCGAATGGTGCTTTGAAAACCAGACGCAGGAATACAGGCGAGAATGGCCGCGATTCTTTGATGTCTCTAAGTACCACCGTGATAGCGGTGCTTCCACACAGACTGCAGTGCGATCTCTCCCTTGACAACCTGTGTCGCCTGCTAAGGCCTCTTACCTTGGGAGTTGGGATACTTGATTCCCTCAACTCGCTACATCTGTAGGCAGTCCCTCGTTCAAAAAGGGCTTTCTTCTCGCACAGACCATCTCCCCGCCTCGCGCTTCGGGTCTCCCCACGGAATCAATTACCCAACCTCGTGGTTGCTCAGACCGCCGAAACAACAACAAAAAAGCGCAGCTTCAAAAAAAAAAAAAAATTAGAAATTTTTGTGAAGCCGACGGTGGACAAAAACAGTGCGCTGCGCCTTCCCCCCCATGGCCAACCCGCGAATGCGGTATGGGAAGGCCCTAGGAAGACGATCAAGCAGGGGAAGAGATGAGGTTTACCTGACTGCTATACAAGCCGCAAGCGCCGGCTTTTTTTTTTTCCCCCATTTCTTTGGAGTTGTCACGTCGTCCGTGGTTTACTGACAATTTGCTACACTTCCCCCTTTTTTTTTTTTAATTTCGTGATTTTCATTAAACCACGGCACAGCCATCAAATCGTGGCTGTGCCGTGACTTGGTGGGTAACTAGCCCTAACAAAAACAGCCACGTGCTTGCCCTTAGCCAAGCACTTAGCTTGGCGAAGCTGAGCAACAATGGGATCACGGAGGGGAGGGGAAGGGGGGGGGGGGGAGGGTGCAGGCATTGTTTAGTAGGCCTTGAGCCAAACGCAGGGGGGCTCAGCATATTGCCCAGCACCCCCTGAAAAATGCCAGCACGTGCTCAAGCCCCCGTGCTCAAGCTTCCTCCGCTCATGCTCCTCCTCCCGCGCTCCTCCCCTCTTCCTCTGCTCCTCCTCCTCCCCTCCTCTTCTCTTCCTCCTGCTCCTTTCTTGACGTATTTCCATTTTGCGGTATACCGTGCTAAACAATCATATAATTTTTTTTTATTCGAAACACATTTCTTTAAAAAGCGTCTTCCCTGCTACATGAATGCCGTTTTCACGATATGTTTCTTGAGCGCGGCGGACATTTGAGAGCAAACAACCGTCACTGTTTGATGAGTAATTAACTAAAATTCGTTAATTAACTTTTAGTTAGTGAAAATAGAGCGTCATCGAAAACCACTGAATTAACTCTTTTTAGAACGACTTGAAGCTCGTGGGAAACTCGGTAGCGCGCCAAAGTTACCACTCGTGAAGCAGGCGCAAAGCTAACAGTGGTGGAACGCGATAACTATCTAATCATCCGCGTATATACGCGTATATGGGCGGTTTCATGTGGATTCAGACAACGAGGTGCAGTCGTATTTTTTTTTTATTTTCCTTCCAATTTTTATATTACGTAGCGCAGGTTCCAAGAAGAACAATCCTTTTTATTTTAGTGTCCTAACAGGTTTAGTTTCTGAGGAAAAAAAAAAAAAAAAAAATCTCAAAGGAGCGGGAGAGAACGACGAGGTTTTGACGATTGTCGTGTGTGGCGTTTTTGAATCACTGTCAATCTCAAAGTATTAAAAAAAAAAAAAAAAAAAGCACTATATTTTTTATTGTGACATATACGCAAGTAGGTAAAACGACATAACTACTATTTTTTATTCGTCGCTCCAATTTTTGCAAAATCCCCAAATATGCCTCCGCGAACAACTGTGACCTAAACTGCGGTTTTTGTTTTTAGTCGATTACGTTTAGTATTGCTTTTAAAATAATGCCACGTGTAGAGCCTTTCATAGCCTTCCAAATTAGGCAATGTTTGTGTCT